TGGGCGCGAGAGAGTGGTGCGTGGCACGCGGGTGGCTCGCGGGGCGGGGCAGGGAGCGGACCAGATAGGAGCGAAGTGCTCAAGAAGTCGATGAGAGAGCCGCTGGTCGACCCTTCGGCCGACGTACTTTACCGAATCGAGGCGCGAGGCGTCGCTTTACCGAAATCTCGAGCGGAGGGCGTCGCTCTCGCGCGACGCTTTTTCCGGGGTCGCCGCGACTGGCTGGGAACGACAGCCCCCCTAGGGTGTGTTGTGTGTCTGTTCTGACCGGTGGTACGTACTTACTTCCCTCCCTCCCTCCCCCCAGCCAGCCGGCAGCCAGCGAGCGATGGATGGCTAACTGGTGTATGTATAGGCTGGCTACTAACTGACTGACATGCTGCCGAGACGAGATGAGGTCGCAGCCCAACGAGGCTCGAGGGTATGCTACCTGGTTGAGGGTTTTGCTACCTGCTCGGAGGTGCAGCTACCTTGACCTCCGGCCGATCCGCCGGGAGGGGTTCAGGCAAGGGGGAGGGGAAGGCGAGCCCCTCCCTCACCTGCCCCCCTCGCCCCTTTCCTACCCCTTTCTCGCCGACCCCTCCCTCGCCTGCCCCACCCTCGCCTGCCCCGCCTCGCCTGCTACTCGCTCACCTGCACTTCCCTCGCCTGCACCTCCCGTCCCTGCACCTCCCTGGCGTGTTCCCCGTCGCCTGCGCGCCTTCCTTCTATAGCTCATCTTCCTCATGCTAGCGCCCACCAGCCGCCCTCATGCGCACCTCCCCTCCCTCGCTTCCATGCTCGCTCGCCAGGCCTCACCCACCGCCCACTCCACTTGGTAGGCAGCAGCCGCACCCTCACATTCACCTGCACCTCAACCCGCCCTTCACCTGCACACCTCCCGCCAACCTTCACACGCAACCCCCACACCGTCACGCCAGGTTGTTCACAGTGCCATCGTCGTCGTTGACCAGAGAGGCAACGAGCTCCTTCTCTGCTTGTGGGCGGCCTTCGAATGGGCAGTCTTCCACCTGTACCTCCTCCTGCCATGCGCACCCCTGCGGTCAGCCTCATGCCCCCCTCTCCTCTCCTCCCTCCTCTCCACCCCCCACCCCCCCCCCCCCACCTCCACCTCCCTGCACCTCCCTACACCTCCCTACACCTCCCACCACCTCCCACCACCTCCCTCCACCTCCCGCCACCCCCCTACCCCGTCCATCCAACTTCCTCCACACCATACCCCTCCCTCCGACTCCCTCTGCCCCTCTCCTCTTACCATTACCACCCAAGACAGCTTGCAGAGCTCCCGGTAACGCTACATTTCGTAACGATGGTCGCTATTGGCCACCTGCCCTCCTTCATCTACAAATGTCGTCGGCACGGACGGAGCGGCGCCAGGCATTGAACGCTGTGCGTGCTGCCGGCGGCACTCCCAGGCCCCGAGCCAGAGCCCCGACCGTCTCTGGCGTTCCATGCGACTGGGACTACCTGCGAGGCGTGTGGGTTCGGCCGGATGGCGACGACTACGATGCGAGAGTGGCAAAGGCAGAGAGGGCGGAGGAGCTGCGGTGGCGGGCGATGCAGAGTGACGGTCGCCGTACACATAGCCCTCGCACGACTTCCACGCCGTCGGCTCGAAGAGCACGGCCTCGGTAAACCGAGCAGGCTCATTGAGCGTGGCGCCCGCATTGCTGGCTCTCATTGAGCAGCAGTTCAGATGCGGGCGCGTCCCGTCACAGAGGCGGTGGGCGGCGAGCGCCATCATCTCGCTGGCCGAGCTGGCCGCCGCCCACCACGCCCACGCGGACGGAGGTGGGCGGGAGAGAGGGCTCAGAGGCGGCAGAGCACATCGTCAACGGTAGCGGAGGCTGCGGGGCGCGACGGAGGCACCGAGAGCGGGGTCAGACAGATTTCGTTTCCGCGCTAAAAGAAGAAAAACCGCCGCCTTGGCCTGTTTTATTTCTTTCCTTCCTTTTGTAAATGAACTTCCGCGCTTCCTTTCCTTACCTTTATTGTGGCGGCCCGTGCCGTTCTCCCATGCCCCCGTGAGGTTGTCTTCCTTTCTCAAGGCTAGCCCGCACACTTCATCCGGCACAAGTCTAGGCACAAGTGATACAACACGCACCGTGAGCTGCGCTCGGGGCCGACTAGAGTGCCCTCCTGGTCACTGCGCCCATACCTCCACCCTCTTGGGCAGCAGCTGGTCCGACAGGTCCTCTCCGTGTCCTAGGCAGCCGCGGCCGCCCTTGCCCCAGGCATAAACAGCGCCATCGCCCGTGCGTGCGAGGTTGTGGTATGCTCCCGCCGACACAGCGACGACGCGCTGGCCAGCCAAGGCCTCGACCTTCTTCGGCTGCCACCGGTTCTGCGCGTCGCCGTGGCCCAACTTGCCTGCTCGTCCGTGGCCCCAGCTCCAGACACTGCCGTCGGCGGCGATGGCGAGGCTGTGGTGCTCTCCAGCCGACACAGCGACGACGCGCTGGCCAGCAAAGGCCTCGACCTTCTTGGGCAGTAGCTGGGTCTGCTCGTCGCCGTGGCCCAGTTGGCCAGAGACTCCATAGCCCCAGCTCCAGACGGCGCCGTCGGCGGTAATGGCGATGCTGTGCGGACCTCCAGCGGACACAACGACGACGCGCCGCCCAGCCAAGGCCTCCACCTTCTTGGGCAGCAGCTGCTGCTGCCGGTCGCCGTGGCCCAGCTTGCCTGAGCCGCCATTGCCCCAGCTCCAGGCGCTGCCGTCCGCAGTGATGGCGATGCTGTGGTGCTGCCCAGCCGAGACCGCGACGACGCGCTGGCCAGCAAGGGCCTCGATCTTCTTCGGCAGCGGCTGCTGCCGCTCGTCGCCGTGGCCCAACATGCCAAACATTCCCCAGCCCCAGCTCCAGACGGCGCCGTCGGCGGCGAGAGCGAGGCTGTGGACGCCTCCAGCCGACACAGCGACGACGCGCCGCCCAGCCAAGGCCTCGACCTTCTTCGGCAGCAGCTGGTTCCACACGTCGCCGTGGCCCAGCTTGCCGTTGCCTGCACTGCCCCAGCTCCAGACAGAGCCGCTGCCGGTGATGGCGAGGCTGTGGTATCCTCCAGCCGACACGCTCAAGGCGCGCTCGCCTCCCAGCAGCGACGGGAGGCGGGTCGGCGTGTTGAGCCGCGCCACGCCCTCGCCGTGGCCGAGTAGCCCTGAGTAGCCTGCCTCACTGCCGCACGACGAGAGCCGCCCCTCGCCGTCGATGAAGAGGCTGTGCCGAGCGCCTCCCGCCGCTCTCGCCGGCAGGTTGGACTCGCACAGCAACGCAGCAAAGCACAGCCACCGCACGGCGCAGCTCTCGCCCTCTGGCTGCGCCGGCAGCTCGAAGCCGCGCTCTTGCGCCCACAAGCGGATGGCCTCCGCCGCGAGCGAGGCGTGGAAGAGCAGCGAGACGGCCGCGACGCGAGCGATGTCGAGGGGGCTGTCGCAGCGAGCGAGGACGCGCTCGAGGAGGTCCGTGGGGAGGTCGAGCAGGCGGGCGGGCGGCGGCGTGTCTGGCGAGGGAGCGGCGGAGGAGGAGGAGGTGGCGAGGCGGCGCGAGCGGCGGCGCGACGGGGCAGACAGAAATCGCGAGAAAGAGAAAAATTGCCCCGCACTAATAAAGGAAGCGGGGAGGCAAAGAAACAAGAAAAGTAAAACGCCGGAAGCTAGGAGAAGGTTGCCCGAAAGCGCAGACGGCCATTTCCGCTCGTGTAGTGGGGCGTGCGCTCGTCGCCAAAAGCTGAGCTGAGGGTATCACATTGGTCCCGGGGTCGGTATCCCTGTTACCTTGCCTTGACTCCATTCCTCTGACTCACTGCCCCGGCGCCCACACGTCGACCTTCTTGGGCAGCAGCTGGTTCGACAGGTCCTCTCCGTGGCCTAGGCCGCCGTGAGAGCCGTCGCCCCAGGTAAAGGTTTCGCCGTCGGCGGTGATGGCGAGGCTGTGGAAGCCTCCTGCCGACACAGCGACGACGCGCTGGCCAGCAAAGGCCTCGACCTTCCTGGGCTGCCGTTGTGCCTGCTCATCTCCGTGGCCCAGCTTGCCTCGGTGTCCATAGCCCCAGCTCCACACGGCGCCGTCGGCGGTGATGGCGAGGTTGTGGTTGGCTGCTGCCGACGCAGCGACGACGCGCTGGCCAGCAAAGGCCTCGACCTTCTTCGGCAGCAGTTGGGTCTGCTCGTCGCCGTGGCCCAACCGGCCATCGCCTCCCCAACCCCAGTTCCAGACGCTGCCGTCAGCAGTGATGGCGATACTGTGGTGCTGCCCAGATGACAGAGCGACGACGCGCTGGCCAGCAAAGGCCTCGACCTTCTTTGGCAGCGGCTGGCTCTGCTCGTCGCCGTGGCCCAGCCGGCCGCTCCCACCAGAGCCCCAGCTCCATACGGCGCCGTCGGCGGTGATGGCAAGGCTGTGGACGGCTCCAGCCGACACGCTCACGGCGCGCTCGCCTCCCAGCGGCGTCGGGAGACGGGTCGGCGTGTTGAGCCGCGTCACGCCCTCGCCGTGGCCAAGGAGGCCTGGCGTCCAGCTCTCAGCCTTGCCGCAAGACGAGAGCCGCCCCTCGCCGTCGATGAAGAGGCTGTGCCGACGGCCTGCCGCCGCCCTCGCTTGCGGGTTGGACTCGCACAGCAGCGCCGAATAGCACAGCCACCGCACGGCGCAGCTCTCGCCCTCTGGCTGCGCCGGCAGCTCGAAGCCGCGCTCTTGCGCCCACAAGCGGATGGCCTCCACCGCGAGCGAAGAGTGGAAGAGCAGCGAGACGGCCGCGACGCGAGCGATGTCGGCGGGGTCGCAGCGAGAGACGACGCGCACGAGGAGGTCCGTGGGGAGGTCGAGGAGGCGGGCAAGCGGCGGCGTGCCTGGCGAGGGAGCGGCGGCGGAGGAGGCGGTGGCGAGGCGGCGCGACGGAGGGCGCCAAAAGAATTTCAGCCGGAACCCCTGAGGCAGGTACACCACTGGAGCCGCCTAAGCGACTCCGGCGAGGACGGCGAGGCACTTAGCTCCGTGCACTTTTTACAACAAACCAGCAACAAACGTGGTGTACCTGTGTTAGTGCCAGTGCCTGTGGTGCGCGCCAGTCCCGTGCCCAGTGTTGTGCAAGGAAAAAAGAATTTAAACGAAACAACTCTCTCTCACAGCAGACAGGCTCGACACAGGAAAAAAGAATTTTACAACAAAGCTCCCTCGCACAAATGTGCGAGGAAAAAGAAAGCCGCGGAGCCGATTGAGGTTTATTACGTCAGTGCATGCGAGAAAGAGGACACTAGGGGGGGGGGGGGGGCGGGTCACTGCGCCTTCTGCCACTCTCGGATCATCCGACGCAGCGAGTGGTTTGGGAAGATACAAGTGTGGTCGAGCTCGCCCCCTGTCAGAGGACTCGTCGACTTGGTCGCGAGCCAACGCTCGATCGCCGTCCGCTCGTATGAGTGCCCATCCGCCGCCATCACCGGGTCGCTCATGACCTCGGTCGTGATTGGGCAGACGAAGTCGTCCGGCGGCTCCTCCTCCTCCACCGAAGGCGGCCTCTCTGCAGCCAAAGAGGACGATGCTTGCTCGTCGGGCGCCCGCCTCTCCTCCAGCCTCGCGCTCTCCTCGAGCGCCGCCGCCAGCTCCGCCTCCTCTCCCGCCGCCAGCGCTGCCTCATCCTCGGGCTCCCGCGACGGCCCAGCGCCTCCACCTCCGCCCTTCCCCTTCTTCTTCTTCTTCTTGCCCTTCTTGCTCTCCTTGTCGCGCCCCCCCGCCTCCTTCTCCGCCTCCTCCTCCGCCAGCAGCGCCTTGGCATGCCGCGCCGCATCCGCCTCTGCCGCCGCTCTCTCCGCCTCCCTCGCCGCTGCCTCCGCCTCCGCCTCCGCCGCCGCATGCTCCTCGAAGGCGCGCACGCACTCGGCGTGGCCATTCGTCCTGGCCAGCTGCAGCGCCGTCCTGCCGCTCTCGGAGCGCAGTGCCGTATCCGCGCCCGCCCGCAGCAGGCGGAGCACGACGGCGGGGTGGCCTTGGCTGGCGGCGCTCATCAACGCGGTGCCGCCTTTGCTGCCCTGCTGGTTGATCTCCGCGCCGCGCTGCAGCAGCAGCTCGACCACCCGCTCGTGGCCGTGAGCGGCGGCTAGCATCAGCGCGGAGAGGCCGCTCTCATCGCCTGCCCCGCCAGTCGCGTTGACCCGCCCGCCGCTGTCGAGCCACGCCAGCAGCGCCGCCTCGTCGCCTCGCCCAGCCGCTCTCGCCGCTTCTGCGGGAAGGCTGCCCAGTGAGCTAGAAGAGGCCGCGGCCGTCGATCCCGCCAACGCCTCGCCCGAGGAAGCGCCGCCCGCGCCGCCCGCCGCCGCCTCGCGCCGGCTCGCAGTCACCTCCGCGATGTGCTGCCGGAAAGCGTCGACGCACCCGGCGTGGCCCTGCTCCTTGGCCAGCTGCAGCGCGGACCTGCCGTCCGCAGAGCGCAGCCTCGTATCTGCGCCCGCCCGAAGCAGGCGGGTCACAATGGCGGCGGCGCCGTGGATGGCGGCGCCCATCAGCGCGGTGCCGCCGTTGCTCATCTGCAGGTTGATCTCAGCGCCGTGCCGTATCAGCAAGTCGACCACACGCTCGTGGCCTTTGTCGACGGCGAGCATCAGCGCGGTGTTGCCGTCGCTGTCCTGCAGGTTGATCTCCGCCCCTCGCTGAATCAGCAAGTCGACCACCCGCTCGTGGCCGCTGCGGGCGGCGTACATCAGCGCGGTGCCGCCTTCACTCCTCTGCAAGTTGATGTCCGCCCCGCGCTGCAACAGCAAATCGACCACCCGCTCGTGGCCTTGCTCGGCGGCGGCCATCAGTGCGGTGCCACCCAGCAGGTTGATCTCCGCCCCGCGCCGCAGCAGTAGCTCGACCGCCCGCTCGTGGCCGTTGCAAGCGGCGTCCATCAACGCGGTGGCGCCGTCGCTCCTCTGCAGGTTGACATCCGCCCCGCGCTGCAGCAGCAGCTCGACCACCCGCTCGTGGCCGTGAGCGGCGGCTAGCATCAGCGCGGAGAGGCCGCTCCCATCGCCTGCCCCGCCAATCGCGTTGACCCGCCCGCCGCTGTCGAGCCACGCCAGCAGCGCCGCCTCGTCGCCTCGCCCAGCCGCTCTCGCCGCCTCTGCGGGAAGGCTGCCCAGTGAGCTAGAAGAGGCCGCGGCCGTCGATCCCGCCAACGCCTCGCCCGAGGAGGCGCCGCCCGCGCCGCCCGCCGCCGCCTCGCGCCGGCCCGCAGTCACCTCCGCGACGTGCTGCCGGAAGGCCTCGACGCACCCGCTGTGGCCCCCTTCCTTCGCCAGTTGCAGCGCGGAATTGCCGCTTTCAGAGCGCAGCTTTGTATCCGCGCCCGCCCGCAGCAGGCGGAGCACGACGGCGGGGTGACCTTGGCTGGCGGCGAGCATCAGCGCGGTGCCGCCTTTGCTGTTCTGCTTGTTCATCTCCGCGCCGCGCTGCAGCAGCAAGTCGACCACCCGCTCGTGGCCGTGAGCGGCGGCTAGCATCAGCGCGGTGCCGCCTTCGCTCCTCTGCAAGTTGGCATCCGCGCCGCGCTGCATCAGCAGCTCGACCACCCGCCCGTGGCCCTCCTGGGCGGCGCACATCAGCGCGGTGCTGCCTTTGCTGCTCTGCATGTTGATCTCCGCCCCACGCCGCAGCAGCAAGTCGACTACCCGCCCATGGCCGTTGGGGGCGGCGCACATCAGCGCGAAGCCGCCGAGGCTATTCCGCATGTTGATCTCCGCGCCGCGCTGCAGCAGCAGCTCGACCATTCGCTCGTGGCCAAATTGGGCGGCGGTCATCAGCGCGGTGATGCCGCTCACATCGCCTGCCCCGCCAGTCGCGTTGACCCGCCCGCCGCTGTCGAGCCACGCCAGCAGCGCCGCCTCGTCGCCTCGCCCAGCCGCTCTCGCCGCTTCTGCGGGTAGGCTGCCCAGCGAGCCGGAAGAGGCCGCCTCGCCCGAGCATGCGCCGCCCGCGCCGCTCGAGCCGGGCATCCCACTCGGGGAAAAGGTGTGTACACCCCAAATCGGGTCGGGACTTCGGACCCGATTACGCTGCCGCCTCGCGCGCGCCGCTGCTGCCCTCGCCGGCAGCCGCCGCGGTCGCAGTGCCATCGTGCGGACTGGCGGTCGACTCGCCACATCGATTTCAACTCACGCGACGCGCTCGGCCTCCGGCTGCCGAGCGAGTGACGGGTAATCGTGGCCGTGGCCAAGAAAGATCAAATATTAAGGGCTCTATTTTGCCTACCGCGAAAAACTCGACGGTTTTGGGCGTTTCAGAGCACGCTGAATCGATTGGCTTAGCTATAATTCTCGCCAGCCCCTTCCTTTCATAATTATTGACTCAAAACTCGATGATCGCGCGACTTTGGAGCCGTTATAGCTAAGCCAAAACGTTCCTCTCGAAAAATTGACTTAGGAAGCCGCAAACGGCAGCTTCTGAAAGCCTCACCGGCGCTTATTATTTGATCTTCTCCAAAACTAGGCCTGCGGCCAAAATTTTCTAAAGGCCGCTGCGCGGCCAGCGCGATGCGCAACCAGACAGCGACCGACAGTCAGCAGCAGACTGTGACGATTGGCGGCCTCGCGCCCTCAGTCAACCTCCTCTACCAACTCCCCTGCCCAGCCCATATGCCTCATCCACGGTGGCGCAACCACTCGCGCAGGGAGAGAGAGAAAGTCGGCGATCTGCGCCGTGCAGATGAGCTCCGCCTCGTCTGCGTCGAGGACGCCCATCGCAGGGCTGTCATAGCGCCATTGCATATGACGTACTGCATGTTGTTCATTACTTCGCAGGTGCCAAAGTCGAGGATAATCTCACTCAGCGATGGCGAAGGCTGCACTCCCGGCCGGCGGTAGGAGGGATGAAGGTTAATGTACTTCGCAGTGTACGGTGCCTTCCGGCGCGAACAGTGCCCGGGACGAAAGAGGAGGCGACGTCTCCCTCGTCCATGGACGGTGTAGCCAGCTTGAGAGACGGGAACGAACGGCGGTGAATCGCCGACAGCGGCGCCTTCATTCTTTTCCAGTGAATCGCCGGCGGGTGCCCTGAGCGTTGTATCTGTCGGCCAGTTGCCGCACCGCCGGCAGCAGCTCCGCAGCAGCCGCCCAGATGGCGGCGGTTAGGACAGGAGCGAAGCCGCGTGGACACGGCTGAGCGACGCCGTGCGTCTCGTTTGGATGCTGCAGGCATGCCGGGCAGCGCGCGTGCTCCATACCGCGTCGGGCGCCCGCCGAAATCTTCGATTTCTTTCGCGTAGGGGACCAAAAACCCTGAAAATTTTCTTCGCCTGCGGCGGGCAATTAATTTCGATACTTTCGCTTTCACAGCTCTTTCACACGACTTTATCCGTCACTCGCTCTGCCGCAAGAGCGGCTGGCTCACGGCAGCGTCTCGCCGGTTGCCGGATAGGAGAGTACAGAACGTCTGGAGTGTAACTGTGTACGTGAGATCGGTTTTGATAACAAGCACGGTCGATCCGTCAAAGCGATACACTCGTTCCTATCTCGCTGGAGGGCTGGCACGGAGCTCTGTGCCGACAAACAGGAAGAGCCGAGCGGCAAGAAGGGCTCGATGGGGAGCGAGAACCGTCAAACGTGCTCACGGAGGTTTCGGAAGTCCACCCTGATGCGGTCGGTTCCCCCCCGGTTTGAACGCGCAGCTCGCAAGACTCGTCGAGCACTCGCAGCCTCTCTGCGCCTCTCATGCTGCCGCTCTGCGGGACGTTCAGTCTTTCCGGAAGATATCGTCGAGTTTTGGAAGCTGCGCGGTCAAACCTGGGGGGAAACAAGAGCGTCACGACGGACTTCAGGTTACACCTGAATCTCTTCTGACGGTTCTCGCTCCCCATCGAGCCCTTCTTGCCGCTCGGCTCTTCCTGTTTGTCGGCACAGAGCTCCGTGCCAGCCCTCCAGCGAGATAGGAACGAGTGTATCGCTTTGACGGATCGACCGTGCTTGTTATCAAAACCGATCTCACGTACACAGTTACACTCCAGACGTTCTGTACTCTCCTATCCGGCAACCGGCGAGACGCTGCCATGAGCCAGCCGCTCTTGCGGCAGCCGCCAGCGGAGGCCGAGCGCGTCGCGTATCGATCGAGCTCGCGATCCGGGCCGTGGAGCCCACGAGGAAGACTTCGTCTGCTGGGACGGAGTCCCGACGCTCGCTGCGTCCGCCGGAACTGGGTCTGCACACCTTTCGTGGCCGCGTCCCGCAGTGGTGAGGGCAGAAGAATTCTTAAGATACAAGCAGAAGAAAAAGAATTTCAACGCGCTGAAGAAAAAGAATTTAAACAGCAGAAAAAGAATTTGCCCAGCACCTCCTGGTCGTGCGCAGAAGCGGCGCAAATGAGCAGCCCTGCGTCCACCCATGCCCGATGGCCTCGCTTTACTTTTGCCCGCGCGACGGCTTTTTTGCGGTCAAGCCTTGATTGCCATTCCAGCCGTCACCGTGATCTGCATTGCCAGATGCTGCTGCAGCGAAGCACCGGCGCCAGAGCCGGCGCTGGAGCCCACGGATGCTGAGCAGACCAAGGGTAGCCATCCCAATGCGCCTGTTCATTGTTTATCCCTCGTGCTCGACGCCCTCCTCAAAGTTGGCAATCGCCGCAGCCACATCCTCCTCTTCCGCCTTCGGTACTTCTTGAGCGCATTCTTCAGCGGCATCTTGCCACAGTTCTCGCACAGCTCCTCGAGCTCCACCCAGCGCGTGTCGATGAATCCAGCGTCCCGGGGTGGGGGAGGGTGTCGGGGTAGGGTGCGGGGGGGGGGGAGAGGTGGGGGGAGATTATCTCCCCTGGATGCCCAGGTCGGCCGCCTCCTTGCCAACCTCGGTGAGGAAGCCCTTGAGGATGGGGGTGAGGAAGGCGAGGCGGCCATCGTGCTGCTTGACCGCGGCGTCGTCGCCCGCGTACTCGGCCTGCAGCGGTGGGTTCGGGTACCGTGGGGGTAGGGGAGGGTGGGTTCGAGTACCGTGGGGGTAGGGGAGCCTGCTGCATCAGGTCGGCGATCTTTGCGCACTCGTACACCATCGAGCGGCCGCCCTCCGCGACGGCCTTCTGCGTGAGCAGCATCGTGCGCACCGACGGTTGGTGAATGATCGCGTCGGCCACCTGCCAGTCATTCGCACGCCGAGGTGTCAGGGCGGGAGGACGGCCTCGTGCAGACGTCTTCAGAGCAAGTTGACACATGTTACATGCACATGCACAACATGACATGAACATGAACATGAACATGAACATGAACATGAACATGAACATGAACATGAACATGAACATGAACATGACATGAGCGGCGCGGGGGAGTACGAGACGAGTACAGCGAATACCGCGGGCGCGGTCGAGTGCAGCGGAGTGTGCGTGTCCTCCTCTCGCGCGCTAGTTGGAGTGCAAGAGTGGGCGTACTCCGCGTCTGGGGCCCGAGAGATGTGGGGAGATGTGGGGAGACGTGGGGAGACATGGGGAGACGTGGGGAGATGCCTGGTCCGGCTCCTTGCTGCCGGAGAGGGAGCGCATCGAGCGGCGCTCCTTTGCGTACCAGAGCGAGTTTTGGAAGGCGAGCTCCGCGGCGGCGATGCCCTGCACGGCCGTGCCGAGCCGCGAGGTGTTGATGAAGGTGAACATGTGGTTCAAGCCGCGGTTGGGCGTGCCGATCAGCCAGCCCTTCGCGCCCTCAAACTCGAGCTGGCAGGTTGGCGAGCCTTGGGGGGGGGGGGAGATAGGGGAGATCTGGGGAGATCGGATGGAGATGAGGGGGAGATGGGGGGAGATGAGGGGAGATCTGGGGGGAGTAGGAGGGATATCTGGGGAGATATGGGGGGAGGCGGCGAGCCGTGGCAGCCCATCTTGTCCTCGATGCGCGACGTGCCGAGGTTGTTCAGCTCCCCCGTCTTGAGGCGCTTGGGCACGAGGAAGAGGGAGATGCCCGCCGTGCCTGGGGAGATATGGGGAGATATGGGGAGATATGGGGAGATCTGGGGAAGAGGGAGACGCCCGCCCTGCCTGCGTTGAGAGTACGCAAACATGAGGGCGGGAGTACGGTGGTGTGCAGCGTCAGAGCACTGCGTGAAGACGAGGGGTGCGAATGCAGTGAATACAGAGGAATACGACCGAGTACGCGTCCTCTCGAGTGCTGGTTGGGATACACAAACACGTCTTCCGCTTCTAGGACGGCGAGCCCGCGGGCGCGTCGGGCAGCCGCGCGAGGACGCAGTGCACGATGTTGTCCGTCATGTCGTGCTGTTGATGGTGGGAGGGGGGAGGGGGGGGGAGGGGGGGGGGGTGGGAGAAAGGACTCGCCACTGCTGAGGACCGGTGACTAACTGCTACTACCCACGGTGCTCGACTACCCATGCTGCTAGCACAGAACCGCCGGCGCCGCTCCGACGGAGGTAGTGCTACGAGGAGAGGGCGGTGCGCGCACCTCGCCGCACGAGATGAAGATCTTGGTGCCCGAGATCGAGTACTCGCCCTCCGCCCCGTCGATGGGCACCGCCTTGGTCGTCACTTGGCCGAGGTCGGAGCCGCACTGCGGACAAGGGAGGGAGGAGTTGACCGGGGGGGGGGGGATGGTGGCGGTGGGAGGTTGTGGGAGGTCGTGGGAGGTTGTGGGAGGTCGTGGGAGGTTGTGGGAGGTCGTGGGAGGTCGTGGGAGGTCGTGGGAGGTCGTGGGAGGTCGTGGGAGATGGTGGCAGACTTGGAGGTGGCGCGGACGGCGAAGCGCCGTCAGAGGGCGCGCGCGGGCGGCGGCGACGGAGGGTGGGCAGCGGGCAGCGGTAGGGCGAGGAGGGCCCGCGGGGCGAGAGGGCGCGTCGGGAGGCGCTAGCCGACACGGTGGCGGCGGCGACGGCGACGGCGGTGGCGACGGCGGTGGCGGCGGCAGCGGCGGCGGCGGCGGCGGCGGCGGCGGTGGTGGTGGAGGGGGGGAGGGGCGGGTTGAGGCGCGCACGGCGGTGGCCCTCGACGGCCACGTGTCGGGGGTGGGGTGCGGCGGCGGCGGCGCGCGAGGACGCGTGGGGCCCCAGCTGGGTGAGCACAGGCTTGGTGGGCGAGCGGGGCGCTGTGTGTGCCTGCGGCTCGGTCAGGCACATGGTGCCGGTCATCTCGCCAGAGATGAGGGAGGGGAGCCACTCGTCCTTGAGGTCCTCCGACCCGTGCGCGATGATCGTGTTGATCGCCCCCTTGGACAGGCCCGGGAACATCAGCCATGTCCAGTTTGCGGCCGCGATCATCTCCGACTGCACGAGCGCGAGCGACATCGGCAGTCCCTGCCCTCCGTACTGCTCCGGGAAGGAGAGCGCCTGCCAGCCGTTCTCGGCGTACATCTTGTACGCGTCCTTGAACCCGGGCGCCGTCACCACCGTGTTTGGGTCCTTCCACACAGAGCCGACCCGGTCGCCGCCCTCGTTCAGAGGCGCGAGCACATCCTCGCACATCGTCTTGGTGGCGTCCACGACCATGTCCACGGTCTCGCGATCGCACGGCGTGAGCACCTCCTCGTTCAGCCCCTTGTAGTGCCCCTCAAAGTTGTGCACGTCGTACAGCAGGAAGTTCATCTCACGGAGTGGCGCGTGGTATGCGCGGCTCGACATGGCAGCTGCGAGCGCGCCCCTGGCTGCTTCCGCGACCGAGGCCGGCGCGCCGGGGGCGCTCTGCGGCCTCAGGCGGTGCGCGCGCTGCGAGACGCGGAGGGCGGAGCGCATAAGGAACGTGGCGGCGGCGATCTGGTTTCGTCGTTCGAGTCCGAGCTTGGAGCGAGACAAGGCGCTGTGGAGCACGACTTGCTGATGGTAATCAACAGCGGCGAACTTCCCGTACTTTTCTTTACTTTTGGGTGTTTATGAAGGCCAAAATGGCCCCTCTCCGGCGCGGGTTGGTTGTGCCTCGTTCATTTAGGTTCATCGACTGCTCTTGTCCGCGGGCGCGAGGGCGCTGCGGGGGCGGCCCCCCCGGCGATGGCGGAGGCGGCAGATGCAGCAGCGGGCGGGCGGGCGGCGGCGCGCGGGAGGCGGGGGGGCGGCGCTGCCTCGACCGATCAGTGAAATGACCAACCCTTCCTTGTCTCGAGGTTTCAAGGGCCAATCCCCCCCGACGGGCCGATTAGGTGCTTGCGAGCGTCCCGTCATGCGCGGCGCAGTGCTGCTGCTCATCGTCGCGCAGGGAGCAGCCCTTCCGAGCTCACGCCCGATCGAAAAGTTCGACTCTGCGTGGCTGAGCGAGTTCCTCGGCACCAATGTTGAGTCACTCTCCTCAGCCACTGTGGCCATTCTTGAGCCGCTTATGGCGTCTCTGAATACGATGGTGCCCTTATCGGCCCGCGGCATCACCTTTGCGGGCGCGTCGTACGGCGACGCAAAGGCGAAGGAGGGCAAGGAGTGCAAGAAGGCAAAGATCTCCATTGACCTCCCGCTGCCCTTCTCTGCGACCTGCATGAAGCAATGCAAGGCATATGCGGAGAGCAAAGGGTATGAGAAGGAATTCTGCTGCGAGTTCGACCGTGCAAAATCCTCCTCAAAAATGTGCAAAATCTCAGAAGACGGAAAGGCCAAGTACAAGAGCGGCGACAAGACGATATTCACCTTTGAGCCGGGAGAGGAGGAGGAGACGTATGATTACGACGACTACGACGACGACGAGGCGACGCCACCGCCGCCCTCTCCAAGCCCACCGTCCCCCTCGTCGTCGAATTGGTACGTCTCCACCACCTCGGACAAGCGGTGCGGCTACCCCGACAAGCAAGCGACTCTCAAACCGTTGCTCGACGTGGCAGAGTCCTGCAAGCTGGTTCGCCATCGCCAAAGTCTGCAGTGAATCCCTCCTGGCCGCATAAACTCAACGCCCTTCGCCCTAGGCCTGCGAGGAGTACGCACTCGACCGCTTCTTCACCGATGACGTCAAGTATCGGAAAATGAACTTTTGCTGCGATTACGAACGCCGTGGCAAGTGCACCATCACCGAGCCGACGGATGGCACGCCCCTCCCCAAGTCGGGGTGGGATGGGAAGCCAAAGGCCACGCCTTTTCCACGCCTTTTCCTGATGAGAGGGTGATAGGTAGGGGAAATTCGCGATGGGTGCTATGATGCGAATAGGTCGAAGAGGGCTTCACCGCCATGTTCTTCATGTGGAAGTGAGATCGAGGGGGACACCGCCCGTCTGCGGGGCCTCAGTCGCCAGCATGGTGGCCCTCGATGATTCTGCTGTCTTGGAGGCACGCGACCGACCCCAGACGGAAGATCCTACTGCGCTCCATGCAGTGTATCCTCTCATCGAAAATGCAAAACATGGATGGGGCTCGGTACTTCGGAAAAGAGAAAGAAGACAAGTGTGAAGAGCCTCCACAAAACACAATGCACACACACCCAGATAGACAAATTTGATACAACGGACACCTCTACTAGGAGATGAGGAAAAAGGATCAAGTCTCCGCCCTGTGGGCGTCGGCCGCGGCGCGCGGGACCGTAGCCGGGGTCTCGTCCTCTCTCCGGTGTCCTCCCCCAACATGGGGCTTGGGGACTACGGCATCTCGAGCGAGCACTCTAGCTAGCCGTCTCTTCCACATGGTCCCTCGGCGCTCTCGGGTCCCTCCACGTGCTGCTCCCAATCTCTTTGTTCTCGTGCACGGCCGGTTGCGGGACCGGGGACGTACAGGGCGAAGGACCGTGTGAGTTGACGGAAATCGGGGGGGCCCGCAGGACGCGACCCACCTCGCCACAGACACGGTCCCGCGCCTCGCCGCTATGACGGCCGCACGACCGCAGCTCGTGTGCGTGCGGCCGTCTTTGTCCGGAGTGAAAAGTCCAACGCGCTCGTCGGTGGCGGCTTCCCCGGATTTCGCCGCGCTCGGCGAACCTCGACAGCGCCTTCGGTGGCATGCAGCTCTTTGCGCCTGAAGCCTGGAGAGCAGCTCCTCTGCTGCTCACACACTCTGCACAGATGGCACAGCCTCGAGTCGCGGCTCGAGGGCACAGCCCACTGGCGGCTGCCACAGCTGTGACAGCGTCGCAGGAGGGAGGAGGACGAAGAAAACGGAAAACGGGACTGGCGCGCAGGGGCGCACGTGCGACGAGAAAACGTAACCTCCAGCGCGGTGTACGGCGCGATAAAAAAGAAAAATGTGGGCTACAAAGAAAAACGGCGAGCGATTCGCGATTCGCTCTCTACCGCCCTGGATGCGCCTCTCGCCACTCTCGAATCTGACGGCGCAGGATGTGGCTCGGGAAGAGACAGATGTGCTCGAGCGCCTCGCCCGTCATCGGGCTCGTCGACTTGGTCGCGAGCCAGCGCTCGATCGCCGACCGCTCATACGTATGCCCATCGGCCGCCATCACCGGGTCACTCATGAGCTCGGTCGTGATTGGGCAGATGAAGTCGGCCGGTGGCTCCTCCTCCCTCGGAGCCGGCGACTCTGCAGCCAAAGAGGACGACACTTGCTCCTCCGCCGCCCGCCTCTCCTCCTCCAGCCTCGCGCTCTCCTCAAGCGCCGCCGCAAGCTCCGCCTCCTCCGCCAGTGCTGCCTCATCCTCGGGCTCCCGCGACGGCCCGGCGCCGCCCCCGCCGCCCTTCCCCTTCTTCTTCTTCTTCTTCCCCTTCTTGGCGCGCTCCCCCGCCTCCTTCTCCGCCTCCTCCCCCGCCAGCAGCGCCTCGGCATGCCGCGTCGCCTCCGCCTCTGCCGCCGCTCTCACCGCCTCCCTCGCCGCTGCCTCCGCCTCCGCCTCCGCCGCCGCATGCTCCTCGAGGATACGCACGCACTCGGCGTGGCCATTCTCCTTGGCATGCTGCAGCGCCGTTCTGCCGCTCTCAGTGCGCGCCGTCGTATCCGCGCCCGCCCGCAGCAAACGGAGCACGACGGCGGGGTGGCCTTGGCTGGCGGCGCCCATCAGCGCGGTGCCGCCGACGTTGTCCTGCAGGTTGATCTCCACGCCGCGCTGCACCAGCAAGTCGAGCAGCAGCTCGATCACCCGCTCGTGGCCGTACAGGGCGGCGAGCATCAGCGCGGTGCCGCCGCTGCTGTCCTGCAGGTTGGTCTCAGCCCCGCCCCGCAGCAGCAGCTCGACCACCCGCTCGTGGCCGTGGCCGGCGGCGAGCATCACTGCGGTGCCGCCGTTGCTGTTCTGCAAGTTCACCTCCGCGCCGCGCTGCATCAGCAACTCGACCAGCCGCTCGTGGCCCTTGCCGGCGGCGAGCATCAGCGCGGTGATGCCGCTCGCATTGCCTACGCCGCCAGTCGCGTTGACCTGCCCGTCGCTGTCGAGCCACGCCAGCAGCGCCGCCTCGTCGCCTTGGAGAGCTGCTTGCCTGGCCTCTTCGGGAAGGCTGTCCAGCGAGCTAGAAGAGGCCGCCGCACTCCCTCCCGCCACCGCCTCGCCCGAGGAAGCGCCGCCCGCCCCTCTCGCCGCCGCCTCGCGCCGGCTCGCAATCACCTCCGCGATGTGCTGCCGGAAGGCCTCGACGCACTCGGCGTGGCCCTCATCCTTGGCCAGCTGCAGCGCGGACTTGCCGTTCGCAGAGCGCAGCGCCGCGTCTGCGCCCGCCCGAAGCAAGCGGAGCACGACGGCTGGGTGGTTGAAGAGGGCGGCGAGCACCAGCGCGGTGAAGCCGCTGCTGCTCTGTAGGTTGATCTCCGCGCCGTGCCGAATCAGTAGCTGGACCACCCGCTCGTGGCCATTGCGGGCGGCGAGCATCAGCGCAGTGACGCCACTGCTGTTCTGCTCGTTGATCTCCGCGCCGTGCTGCAGCAGCTGCTCGACCACTCGCTCGTAGCCGCTGGCGGCGGCGAGCATCAGCGCGGTGCGGCCTTTGCTGTCGTGCAGGTTGACATCAGCGCCGCGCCGCAGCAGCAGCTCGACCACCCGCCCGTGGCCCCTTTGGGCGGACAGCATCAGCGCGGTGCTGCCGCTCACATCGCCTTCCTTGAGAGTCGCGTTGACCTGCCCGTCGCTGTCGAGCCACGCCAGCAGCGCCGCCTCGTCGCCTCGCCCAGCCGCACAGGCCACTTCGTCGGAAAGGCTGCCCATTGAGCCGGAAGATGCCGCTGCGCTGCCATGTTTCTCGCCCCTTCCTGGGTTGGACTTTTTGGGGGGTAGGGTACAATTTTAAGGCCCCCAGCGGAAAGGGGAAAGGGGGCCCCCCCCCCCCCCCCCCCCCCAAAAAAAAGTGCCGCCCGCAGAGGGTGAGAAGGGGACGCCCGCAGCGTGGCACCAGGCGCAGCCCCGTCCCTCCATTCGCACGACCTCCCCACACCGACACCCGACCCCGCCCCCCACGCTGCAGTACCGTTGGGTCGATTTTGTCACCGGCCTAAAATATGGCGTCGCAACCGTTGAGACGGGCCTCGACGTGTCTCGCACCCATCCGACCGGCCCGCACCGACTCTGGGCGTCTTTTACATCGCAGCCACCTGAGTAGGTGATCAGTTTTGGCTGGCTCGGCAACACCGACAACCCGTGGATGAGTGCCTTCAACCGGTGAGCGCAAGCACGTCGCCCTATACTTCCCTCTAGACCCTGGCGCATTTGCAGGTCAACTCGTTGAAGCGCCGCGCTCGCCCCCCACCCCCCTCTCCCCACACGCACCCAACGAATTAAACGCTTACCACGCCGGCACGTTCTCACCCACCATCCTCGCCCCGCCGCAGGTTTAACGAGCTCGATCTCGACGCGAAGGCGGACTACAAGAACCTCTTGACGCCGGCGGGCGCGTCGAGGGCACGATGGACTTTTTTGCAAAGGGGCATTTGTTCGACGGGGAGATTACCTTGTTCCCGTGGACTAAGTTCTTGAAGTGGAGGCCAGGCTGGCGGTAACCCGCAGGATGTGCCTTACAGCCTCCCTTGCTACCCCCTCCCTCCCCCCCCCCCTCCCCCCCCTCCCTCGCCACCTCCTCCCTCGCCGCCTCCTCCCTCACCACCCCCTCCCTCGCCTCCCCCTCCCTCGCCACCTCCTCCCTCGCCGTCTCCTCCCTTGCCGCCTCCTCCCTCGCCGCCTCCTCCTTCGCCGCCTCATCCCTTGCCGTCCTCGCCGCCCCCTGCCTCGCCATCTCCTCCCTCGCCGCTTCCTCCCTTGCCGCCTCATCCCTTGCCGCCTCCTCCCTCCCCGCCTCCCCTCTCGCCTCGTTCCCCGCCGCCTCCTCCCTCGCTTCCTCCTCTCTCGTCTCCTCCCCCCTCGCCGCCTCCTCTACCTCCTCCTCCCTCGCCGCCTCCTCCCTCGCCTCCCCCCTCGCCGCCTCCTCCCTCGCCGCCGCCTCCCTCGCCGCCTTCCCCCTTGCCGCCTCCTCCCTTGCCACCTCCTCCCTCGCCGCCCCCTCCCTCGCCGCCTCCTCCCTCGCTTCCTCCTCGCTCGCCGTGTCCGTCTCTATTGAGCGCTCACGCCACGCGAGAGTGGTGTGGCGCGGGCGTGAAGTCGCCAGCTTCACCACTTGTTTGGCGGGGTCTTTACCGGCATGTGTCTGTATGTGTATCTGCTCCGACGCCGGCTCGACGCCGAGTGGTGGAGAGCTCCTCTGTGTAAGCGGGAGAGACGCGTGGAGAGAGCTGAGAGGCGCGGTTTTTTTTGCGTGGGCGGGCTTCCAACTTCCATCGTCACACTCAGACAGTCTGACACTCCTGAGCTGCGCCTCGCCACTTTGTAACAATCAACGAGCTCCTCCTGTCACTCGTACGCACATAGACATAGACTCAAAACAAACCACGCCCGTGACACATGCAATTGTGAACAAAACAATGTGGTCCCGCCGCCCCGCGCACCCAACCACCCAGCCCCTCCCTCCCCCGTGCCGAGCCCGACGCGGGCGCCACCTACGCGCCGTTGCGGTAGGCCACAAAGAATGTGAAAAACGCACCTCAGCCCTGCGTGCCCTTGAGCGCCGCCACCGTCCCCTTGAGCTCCGCCACCTGGTCGAGCGCGTCGCCGAGCAGCCCCTTGGCCACGCCCAGGTCGCGCAGCTGATCCACGCCGCCGCTCGCCCGCACCTCGGCGGCGTGGTCGGCCACGTAGCGGCGGCACTGCGCGAGGAGCCGCCCGTCGCCCGTCGCGTGCGCCGCCTCGAGCAGCGGCACGGCGCTCGCCGGCCCGACGCTCTCCTGCAGCGCCTGCGCGCAGAACAGCTCGAGGCGCGGCACCTGGTACATCTGCGCCAGCTGCCGCAGGTCGAACGCGCGCTGCGCTCTGCCGCCCTCCTCCTCGCCGAGGTCGAGCTGGTCGGTGCAGAGGTAGCGGACGAGGGCGGTGAAGGTGGCGAGGTCGGTGTTGCGCACCGTGACCTCGGCGGCGTCGCGCTCCTTCATGCCGATGCCAAACATGGTCCGAAAGAACACGGACCGAATGCAGAGCAGGTTCTTGCTCACGTGCTCGTAGCGCTCCTCGTCCTCGCCGACGATGAAGGTGACCAGGCCGGTGGGGAGAGTGGGATCGCCACAAGTCTTTCCGAGGTCTGCCACCAGGGTCGAGGGCGGCACCACAATCGGCGCGAAGGTGGGAGGCGGAGGAGGCGCCGACACGCAGACCTGGCGGAGGGAGGGCCTCGAGGAAACCAGAAGAGCGCTGCCGTCGGCGCTGATGGCGACGCCGCGTGGGTTGTGGAAATGTGCCGCGCCGCCCACGCCGTCAGCACTGTCCATGGTGCCGCTGCCCGCGAGCGTGGTCACCGCGCCCGTCGCCACCTCCACTCGGCGGATCTTTTGGTTGCTGACGTCCGCCACGAACAATGCGCTGCCGTCCAGACTGATGGCGACGCCGTGTGGGTAGCTGAACTGCGCCGCGCCACCCACGCCATCAACGCTGCCCATAGTGCCGCTGCCCGCAAGCGCGGTCACCGCTCCAGTTGCCACCTCCACCCGCCGGATCTTGTGGCCCAAGCAGTCCACCACAAACAGAGCGCTTCCGTCCGGGCTGATGGCGACGCCGCTTGGGTAGTAGAACTGCGCCGCGCCACCCACGCCATCGACACTGCCATTGGTGCCGCTTCCCGCCACCGTGGTCACCGCGCCAGTCGCCACCTCCACCCGGCGGATCTTGAAACCGCGGAAGTCAGCAACAAAGAGTGCGCTACCGTCCGGGCTGATGGCGACGCCGCGTGGGCTTGTGAACTGCGCCGCGCCGCCCACAGCGTCAGTGTCGCCATCCTCGCCACTGCCCGCAAGCGTGGTCACCGCTCCAGTCGCAGCCTCCACCTGTAGAATCTTGTGGCCGCCAGAGTCCGCCACAAACAGCGCGCTGAGATCCGGGCTAATGGCGATGCCGCGGAGGCCGGGGTCTTGTGCTTCCACCGTTGCCACGCTGCGCACGCGCCCGGCCGAAGAGACGTGCAGTACTGAGTCATCAGTGGTGACGTACCACGCGCCCGCGCGATCGCTCACAACGCCATGCATGTCGAGCGCTGCCAGAGGGCCGTCCTCGCCCTCGAGCAGCAGCGTGGTGACCTGGCCGACGACGCGCAAGCCAAAGAGGGGCGCCTCGAAGCCATCCGCGACCGCCACAGCTCCGCCGCCCGAATCGCCGTCCTCGCCGGCGGTACGGGCGCGCTTGCGGGACGCCATGCAAAAAAGCGCCGAAACAACGGAGAGGGGGGATTCGGGACAGGAGTTGGGTGGTATCGTGGTAGTGCGGGTGGCGGCCCTAAACTGTAAAGAAGAAAACGAGTGTACGGTTGCCTGTCCAACAAGTAGAAAGTGCGCTCACACAGCGGAAACTTGCCTCCAAAAGGAGAAACACATGCCGCTAGACAGAACCGCGTTGAGTGCAAGCGTGCACCTTATTTATCGACCGATGAGTGAGCGGCTCGCAAAGTGGAACTCGGTCGAGCGTGCAAGGCGACACATTGGGCGGCGAGTGAATGTCTACTGGGACTTTGAGAAGCAGTGGTTCTCAGGAGAGATATCAGAAGTGTCAGCGAGATAATCTCTCTCTCTCTATGATGACGGCGAGTCAAGGTGGGAAAAGCTCTGGGAGATGGACTATGACTTGCTGGGAGGTTCGGGTGCTGGCCCGTCGGGAGCGGTCAAGACGGAGGTGATCGCACGTTTCAACCGCAACCAGGAGCGCGTCGAGACGGTCGTGCTGCGCCACCGGCGGGAGAAGGTGGCGCTCGCCAAAGCCGCGGCGGTGATCATTCAAGACGCGTGTCGTACGATGAACGGTCGTGTGGAGGAGAAGCTCAACAAGGCCCTTGACATGGCAGAGGCACAGCAGCAGCCGCCACCGCCAGCCACGCCGCCTCGCTCGGTGCAGAAGGCGGCGGGTGTCTCGCCGGCGTCGCCCTTTGCCACGCCTGCCACGGCCAAGAAGCCTGTGCCTCGCGTGCTCTCGCGGCCGGAGCTAGCTATGCAGGCACTCGGTTCGAGGCACGGCGCGGCGGTGAGCAACCTCGAGGAGGTGATGGGCTATGTCGAGACCTACCCGTTCTTTCAGAACATACAACGTGCAGGCGCTCGTCTGCTCCAAGCATCTCGACTACAACGGCCGCTTTGTCCTGCTCACCTGGCTGATCTCGGAGGGCTGCTCGCCTGTGCTTGTCGTCGAGCTGATGCTGGCGGCGGGCTCGCTCAAGGACCAGGCGGCCTTCGACCACGTCCTCTCCATGCTCATCGCCCTCTCCAAGAACCAGTTCGAGTACCGCGCCTACTCGCGCCTCACGCGCTCCTGGCAGGTGGCCCGCCCGGCTATTGGCACGGCGAGCTACTGGGCGGAGGCAATCGCCAAGGTGCGCTACGCGCGCAACTGCGCGCCACGCTCGTGAGAAGGCATGGTGAGATGGGAGGATCAAGACTAGACACCTCCCCGCCACGCCCTCCACACACACACAAACCGAGAGCAGCGGGCACCGATTTCCGGTCCCGCGGCGTACGGGTCTAAGTTGAGTAAGTATTAGTACTCGTATACGCATGATCTAGCTGCATGCGCCATGTTTGTTACATTATAAAGCTAACATGTCGCTTTTCCTGCACAACAATGAAGTGTAGTTCTTTTACAAACCAAAACTGCGTCCTATTCACGCCTTTCGCCTCGTGTCGACCCGTGACCCCGAATCACACACACCTCTCGCTCTCCGCTCTGACCTCTGTGCACGACCGAACAGGCAGTTAATATTTAATCGCGTCTCGGGTCATCTCGGGTCATCTCTCGGGTCATCTCCCCACATCTCCCCGCATCTCCCGCCAGCCCTCTAGTGTAGTTCTTTTACAAACCAAAACTTCGTCCTATCACGCCTTTCCGCTTTCGCCTTGTGCACGACCGAATCACACACACCTCTCGCTCTCCGCTCTGTGCACGACCGAACATTAATATTCAATCGCCTCTCGGGTCATCTCGGGTCATCTCGGGTCATCTCCCCACATCTCCCCGCATCTCCCGCCATGCCTCTTAATATTTATTCGGGTCATCTCGGGTCATCTCGGGTCATCTCAGGTCATCTCGGGTCATCGACTCACACACATCACACGCACCTAATCGCCTCTCGGGTCATCTCGGGTCATCTATCACACACACCACACGCACCTAATCGCCTCTCGGGCCATCTCGGGCCATCTCCCCACATCTCCCTGCGTCTCCCGCCATGCCTCGCGGGTCATCTCCCCACATCTCCCCGCATCTCCCGCCATGCCTCTCTCGATTCTCGATCAAATATTTCATCACACACATCACACGCACCTCTCGCTCTGAATCGCCTCTCTCGATCTCGATACATGCCTCTCTCAATCAAACATCTCATCACACACACCTCTCGCCCTAAAATTCCTTAAGTTCGGTGGGATCTTGAAACGAAAATGCGAAATCCTAGTGCAAATAGACTTCACGCCTCCTGCACCTCGCCTTCCTGGGGCCCAGCGCTGACTTCTGACTGTCGCCGCTGTCGAGCAACACGGAGCTCCGTTGGACGTTTTCAAGATTAGCGTGTCAGAGTGAAATGGAACTAGCCAAGAGGCCCTTTCAAAGGCCGCGGTTTCGAACTTGATGAGGCCTCTCGATCCTCGTCGCCGCCCCGCCAGGAAACTGCACATCACACAAGGTACCCAAACTAAAATCCCGAAGTTCGGTGGGATCTTGAAACGTAAATGCGAAATCCTACAGTGCAAAGAGACTTCACGCCTCCTGCACCTCGACCGCCTGCACCTCCCTTGGCGGCGGCGCCGCCTCCGCCTCCGGCCCCACTCGCGGGCGCCCGGCGACCCGGCCCCTCCGCCGGCCGCGGAAGAACGCCAGCAGCGCGCGAGGCTGTGCCAGCAGCGCGCGAGGCTGCGCCTGCCCCGCGCGGAGGAGCGGGCCTGCGTCCAGGAGAGCCCCCTCGCCTGTAGGGAGCGCACGCCACGGCCGTACTCAACCTGTTTCCCTCGGCACTAGTTTCACTCGGGTTCACTCCCACTGCGCCTTCGGGGAGGGTCCATCGGCGCGTAAAAGGAGAGTCGCGGAATCGCGCGCCTCCACCCAGCAAGGGCTACGCAGTATCCCTGACATCCCGGCACATGTCCTCAGAGGCGGGAGGGCGCGCCTCCGCCCTCGCCCTCGCTGGGCGGCGGGATCGAGAGCACCTGCATCGGCGACCCCATCCCCAGGGCGTCTCGCTATGCCGAGATGAGCCGAGATGAGCCGAGATGAGCCGAGATGAGCCGAGATGAGCCGAGATGAGCCGAGGGGAGCCGAGATGAGCCGAGATGAGCCGAGATGAGCCGAGATGAGCCGAGGGGAGCCGAGGGGAGCCGAGGGGAGCCGAGAGGAGCCGAGAGGAGCCGAGAGGAGCCGAGAGGAGCCGAGAGGAGCCGAGAGGAGCCGAGAGGAGCCGAGAGGAGGCGAGAGGAGCCGAGAGGAGCCGAGATGAGCCGAGATGAGCCGAGATGAGCCGAGATGAGCCGAGATGAGCCGAGAGGAGCCGAGAGGAGCCGAGATGAGCCGAGATGAGCCGAGGGGAGCCGAGGGGAGCCGAGGGGAGCCGAGGGGAGCCGAGGGGAGCCGAGGGGAGCCGAGGGGAGCCGAGGGGAGCCGAGAGGAGCCGAGAGACAGCCGAGAGGAGCCGAGAGGAGGCGAGAGGAGCCGAGAGGAGCCGAGGGGAGCCGAAGTGAGCCGAGGTGAGCCGAGAGGAGGCGAGAGGAGCCGAGAGGAGCCGAGAGGAGCCGAGAGGAGCCGAGGTGAGCCGAGAGGAGCCGAGGGGAGCCGAAGTGAGCCGAGGTGAGCCGAGAGGAGGCGAGAGGAGCCTCGCTGGGCGCCGCGTTCGAGAGCGAGCGGGGCAGCGCGGCCAGCGCGGCGGCCGCGATGAGGCCGATGAAGGCCGCGGCGGCTGCGAAGACGAAGAGCGCGCCAGAGGGGGAAGCCTCGGCGGCGGGGCGCGCCGAGAGGCCCCACGCGAGCGCGGGCGCGCACAGGGCAGGGCCGAGCATCTTGCCCACCTGCGGCGGGGGCGGCGGCGGGGGGCGGCCGGGGGGGGGGAGGGGGGGGCGTCCGCCTGCCCGCCTGCCCGCCTGCCAGCCTGCCTGCTCCGTCACAGCGGTCTGCCTGGGCGTGGCGGCGTGGCGGCGTGCGGCGTGCGGCGTGGCGGCGTGGCGGCGTGGCGGCGTGCGGCGTGCGCGGCGGTTTGCGGGTGGCGGGCGGCGCGGGCTGTTCGCTGGTCGTAGCCGCGAAAGGAGGAGGCACTCCCGGAGCCGGGGGTGGGGGGCGGGGGTGGGGGGTGGGCGCACCCCTTCTGTCAGCGCGACGATTCCGTTGAGCAGCCCGTTGCGCTGCGGGTCGCGCGCGCACAGCCTGCGGTGTGAGGCACACAGAGCTCCCTACAGCTGTGTACAGTCGCGTGCGTATGAGCTCACTAGCTAGAGCGAGCTCGCACTAGAGTCCGTCATCGCATTCGCCTTCCTGGGGCCCAGCGCTGGCTTCTGACTGCCGCCGCTGTCTCTCTCCCTTCTCGACTGCCTGTGCTTGTGCGTCGTGGGCCCCGGGGTTGTGCGTTTGTGGGAGGGCACAGCGTGGAGACACCAGCCTCGGGGCGGGAGCACCAGCCTCGCGTGCCGTGTGTGCAGAGCACCGCGTGAGCACTCGGCGCGACGAGTACGGGTGACTGCGGATGGGGAGATATGGGGAGATATGGGGAGATATGGGGAGATATGGGGAGATATGGGGAGATATGGGGAGATATGGGGAGATATGGGGAGATATGGGGAGATACGACTGCAGAGGAACGAGGCAGAAGACAGCGGAGTGCGTGTAGGGCGCGGGGCAGGAGGCACGAGATCTGGGGAGGGATGGGGAGAGATGGGGAGGGATTCCGCTTCTAGGGCGCGGGGCAGGTTGCTCATCGAGACGAGAGCGGTGCCGGCGAGGAGCATGGCCGACGTCTGCAGGCCGTACACGAGGGAGGCGCCTACACGACGCAGATCTGGGGAGATATGGGGAGATATGGGGAGATATACACGAGGGAGGCGCCTACACGCGATCTGGGGAGATATGGGGAGATCTGGGGATATATGGGGAGATATACACGAGGGAGGCGCCTACACGACGCCAGGCGCGGCGCGTCTGCCGTTCTGTTGCGGCTAGGCCCGGCAGTGCACGGGGGGGAGGCGCCCAGGGCGCGCAGCCACCAGCGCTCAGCGGTGGCGGAGGGGGAGGCGAGCAGGCAGAGTGTGAGGAGTGCCGCGGCTGTGCAGCCGGCGGTGAGCGAGGCGTGCAGCCCGAGGCGGCGCACGAGGCGCCCCATGGCGAGCGACGTGAAGACGACCTGGGTGGGTGGCGGCGGCGAGTGTGCGAGTGACCCGGCGCTCCCGCCGCGGCCGCTGCTCGAACGACTCTCAGAACCACTCTCAGAACCACTCTCGAATCACTCTCGCTGCTGACGTGCAGGATCTCCCCAGATCTCCCCAGATCTCCCCAGATCTCGCTGCTGACGTGCAGGATCGCGCGCAAGACCACGCGCAGGACCGCGGCGGAGCGACGCGAGCTTTTCTGTCCCCCCCCCCCCGGCTTGGGATGGCCGGGTGCACTACTCGGGCCATCTCGCGGCTGGCCGCGGGCGGGCCTCGCCTGCACGACCGCCCCGGCAGCGAGCGAGGTGCCGAGCTGCTCCTCGGTCAGCGCGAGCCCGCCGGCATAGCGAGACGCCATGCACCACAGCGGCACGAGGTCGAAGGCAGCAAACAGCGCACACCCGTGCGCCGCGCGCAGCACCATCACGAGAGGCAGCGGGTGAGAGCACAGCACAGCGCTGAGTGGAGGGCGGGCCGCGCCATCGGCGGCGCCGCCACTGCCGCCGCCGCCATTGTCGCCGCCGCCATTGTCGCCGCCGCCGCTGCCTTCTCCGCCGCCTTCGCCGCCGCCGCCCGGGTGTGTGGCGAGGCGCGTGCGAGCGCCGCCTCCGGCGTCCGCCTTGTTCGCCTTGCCGGCCGGCCCTTCTCTAGAGGAGTACGAAGAGGAAGCCGCTGCAGCAGAGAAAGAAGTAGAGGCTGCCCGGAGGGTTGAAGAGGAGGCCGCTGCGGCAGGAGAAGCTGCCCGGATCGCCGAAGAGGAAGCCGTTGCAGCAGAAGCAGAGGAAGAGGCTGCGCGCGGCTTCGTCTCCGGCAGCCAGGCCACGTTGACCGCGACGGCGGTGGCGCCGATCGCGCCGCCAACCAGGGAAGGCGGGAGGGCGGGGAAGCGCGGGCCGAGCGCAGCGTAGGTCCATCCTCCGATTGCTGGGCCGAGGAGGGCGACGACGGAGCCGGTGGCAAAGACGTACGACCAGACCACGGGCTGCATCGCCTCCCCCGCGCACTCCAGCACGCACAGCCCCATCAGCGTCACCCACCCGTTGAGAGCGCCGATCAGCAAAAACCGGACCGCGAGGGCGGCGGGCAGGCTGGTGGTCAGGCCAAAGCAGACGTTGCCGAGGGTGACGGCGACCATGCTCGCAATCATCGACGGCCGCCGGCCACAGCGGTCCGCCGCGTGGCCCCACAGGATCGAGGTGAAGAGCCGCCCGCAGAGCACGGCGGTGGGAAGCAGACCCGCGACAAAGCCCGCCGTGTCCGCGTCGGCGGCCCAGCCGCAGTCGACGGCGAGGAAGCCGGCGTAGGAGAAGATGGAGCAGAGGGAATAGAAGTGGGCCGCGTTGGCCCACCCGATGGCGATGACGGGCTTCCACCCGAGCGTCGGCACGCGAGCCGAAGCGCGCGGCCGGAGGCACATTGCTGTGGAAGGATATGCACGCGTGACTACGCCAGGACCTCACGAGGGCCCGGCGACCAACCGTGACTACGCAAGCTAAGACGACGATCCGGCGGAGGAGCGCTGCGCCGTCCTCGTCGGGCGGGCGGTCGAAGATGACGGCGCGGGTCGGGTCCGTCGGAAAGCGCTGCGAAGTCGTGCCGCGAAAGAATTTCCGCTCGGCCGCTGATCGTCCTTCCACTCCCATCCCTCCCTTGGGTTGTCTGTTTTCTTTCTTTCTTTTTTTCCAAGATCCTGCTCGTGCAGGTGGGGACCCTGTCCTCGTCCCATCCCTCGATAATCTACCGACTCCAAACACATAGGATTCCTACTTTCCTAGTCTAGACCGGACGCGGAACCATCCACATCATCACTGGCTCGCGGCAGTAAGGGCACTCTTGCATCAGCTCAGAGCATGGCCCGCAAGCACACAGGTGCCCGCACGGAACCGCAGCATGCGACTTGACTCTCGCGAAACACACGATGCACGTGGTCTCTCCCCCCATCGTGGACTCGGGGGCAGCCGGCCGCCCCGTGTCGAGGCCGGCGTCCGCTAGCAAGACGGCAGCAAGCGGCTCGGTGACTGGCAGATGCTGCTCCGCCGCCTCTCCCGCCTCTGGCCCGATCAAGCGCTCGATGGCGCCGACCCGCTCCTCGAGGCTGCCCTCGGTCGCCGTGCCGAGGCTCGCCTCCAGCCGCTCGACACGCCGCGGCAAGTCCCCGCCGCCGCCGGTCGACTCGCTGCTCACCGCCTCCTCGCACCGCGACACCCGACGAGCCAGTGCCTCCTCCGCATCCACCTCTGACCGGCGCAGCGCCTCGGCCAGCTCCGCATCCTCGCGCAGCGCCGCCCGCTCTGCCGCACCCGCTAGCTCTGCCGCCTCCCGCTCCGCCCGCCTCGCCGCCTCCTGCTTAGCAGCCAGCTGCGCCGCCCTCTCCTCCTGTGCGCGAACCTCTGCCGCAGCCTTCGCCCTCCGCTCCTCCTCGAGCGCGAAAGCAGACGGCGCCTTCTTGGCCTTATTGTTCTTCGCCTTGGCCTCCTTCTTGGCCGCCGTTGCCTCCGCCGCCTTTGCGCGCCGCCTCGCCTTCTCCTCCTCCGCCCTCCTATCCGCAGCCTCCTTCTCGCGCCGCGCCGCCTCTGCCTGAGCGGCCTTGCGCTCCGCCGCGGCCGCCCGCTGCTCCTCTCGCTGCGCCTCCTCCGCCGCAAGCCTCTCTGTCTTCCTCGCCCGCAGCGTCTCCTCTGCTGCCGCGCGCTCAGCGGCCAGCTTCGCCTCCGCCTCCGCCGCAATGGCTCGCCTCTGCTCCTCCAGCGCCGCAGCGTCCGCTGCCCGGCGCGCCTCGTCCGCCGCTCGCTCTGCCTCGCGCTGTCGTGCTGCCCGCTCCCGCTCTCGCGCCGCCGCCGCCGCCTCCCGCTCGCGCTGCTCGCGCCGCCCCTTGACCTCGAGCGCCTTTTCGGCCGCCTTCTCCGCCGCCTGCGCCTCCCTCAGCGCCGCTGCGTGCTCTGTGAGAGCGCGCACGCACCCGGCCTGGTCTATTTCAGGAGCACTGGCGGCGTCGGCAGTAGCTAGCACCTTGGCCGCCTCCTTGGCGATCTGCAGCGCCGTCATGCCGGCCGCAGAGCGAGCCTTTGCATCTGCGCCAGCCCGAAGCAAGCGGAGCACGACGGCGAGGTGGCCACTGTAGGCGGCGCCCATCAGCGCGGTGTAGCCTTTGATGTCCTGCAGGTTGACGTCAGCGCCGTGCCGAATCAGCCGCTCGAACACCCGCTCGTGGCGTTTGTCGGTGGCGAGCATCAGCGCGGTGTCGCCGTTGCTGTTCCGCAGGTTTACCTCAGCGCCGCGCTGCAGCATCAACTCGACCACCCGCTCGTGGCCGTGGCCGGCGGCGCCCAACAGCGCGGTGCCGCCTTTGCTGTTCTGCAGGTTGATCTCCGCGCCGCGCCGAATCAGCAGCCCGACCACCCGCTCGTGGCCTTCCTGGGCGGCGGCCATCAGCGCAGTGACGCCACTGCTGTTCTGCTCGTTGATCTCAGCGCCGTGCTGCAGCAGCAGCTCGACCACCCGCTCGTGGCCGCTGCGGGCGGCGTTCAGCAGCGCGGTGACGCCGCCGCTGCTCTGCAGGTTGACTTCAGCGCCGCGCCGTAGCAGCACCACGACCACCCGCTCGTGGCCTTGGCCGGCGGCGAGCATCAGGGCGGTGACGCCGTCGCTGCTCTGCATGTTGAGCTCCGCGCCGTGCCGCAGCAGCAGCTCGACCACCCGCGCTTGGCCTTTGTTTGCGGCGCCCATCAGCAGCGTGATGCCGCTCACCTCGTCTCTCTCGTACGTCGCGTCGGCCCGCCCGCCGCCGTCAAGCCACGCCAGCACCGCCTCCTCCTCGCCTCGCGCAGCTGCTGCCACGACCGCATCGGAGCAGTTCAGGCCAGCGCCACGGCGACAG